TATATATATATATATATATATATATATATATATGTACCCTTAGCAAAAGGTAGTTTTTATTCAAGTAGGCTATACTAAAAGTGCATGATTTTCATACTTAAAATCAGGCAGTGCACTTAGAGTTTACTTATTCTAAACTATATTTCATATACTTAGTATATAGTATAGTCAACTGAACTTGACTATACTGTTGTTTACTTTATTGTTTAGTAAAGTATATTTTAAGTATACTTTAGTAAACTTAAAAATGTCCCAATTTAGTTCGAAGAAGTATTACTTTAGTAATACTTCAAGTACACTAAAAGTACATTGTTCGGGTATACTTTCTAAACTTATACTTAAGTATTCTTAATAGAATTTATTTCAGGTATACTACTTTTTGCTAAGGGTAAGTTTTTGCTTTTTTTCAAAAAATTTTGTGGCTGCAGCTTATAGCTGTTTTAGGCTGTTTTAAACGAGATTTCTTTTTGTATACACTCATGTATAAATGACAAAATAAATCTGTCTATATGTCTATATTATAGTGAGGTGCACTCTATAGGCCGGAGAATATTTTACTTTCTTATTTCCTGAGAGTGGCGGCCTGGTGTTTTTTTTTTAAGCTTTTCAACTTTTTTTATTGTATTTACAATGTCACAAGTACAGAGCAACAAAATGATCTCTCTGCATTTAACCCATCCCCTTGGGAAGCAGTGGGCTTCCATTGTGCGGCACCTGGGGAGCAGTGTGGGGTTAAGGGTCTTTTGCTCAGGGACCCAGAGTGTCAGTCAGTGGGAGTGGGGTTTGAACTCAGAAACTGTGGATTCTAAGCGGAATACCCTAACCCTAGGTCACACTAGGGTTAGGGTATTCCGCAGTTTGTGCGGTTTGTGCATTTTGTGTATTTTATTAAATACACAAACTGCTCATGAGGGGAATTTTTTATTTTATTGATGCATCTTAGTTATTGTTATTCATATTCCACAAAAGAGAGTGTGTTTTGTAAATGTTTTTCATGATTTTACTAAAATGAAAAATTGTACAAACTTATCAAACAGTAAAAGTAAAAAAAAATCTTGAAGGAGCCTCACTGTTGGCCTGTGTAGAACAAATATAAACATGCCGCTGCCTTTTACACCAAACAGCAGCAGTGAATTTAAGAGTGAATCTAAAACTCAAGTCGACCACGATAGTATCAATACTGTCAATGTATTGGATAAGTCTGTTCACCACTTGTTACGAGCAGAAGGCCTGAAAATAAATATATTTTAAAAATTCTTATACTGCCTTTAATTTAGGTGAACCCAAGAGGTCGAACTGAGGAATAGAACAAATGTCCCTTCACGCCATTTTGCTAAGAATGGATTTAACTGGATATCAAAGTATAAGCTGAATTCAGCAGAACATAACTTAAAGTTTAGTTGTTGATGATTTAGTAATTCAATAAAAAAAAAAAATCATTAAGATGTTAATTTTCTTTTCTCTAACATTGGCCATTTAAAGCAATGGAACCTAAACAATTGACAACACCTGCTTTTAACCAGGTTTTTCTCTTGTTTTCTAGTTCCTATATTTAGGTATCAAATGTCACCTCTTCAAGGAAGTCCGCGTAGTTAATCTCTGACAGGCCTGCTTCAGAGAAATCTTGGAGGTTTTGCTTCCCCTCTGACTCTAACAAGATTATTCCTCTCAGGTCGATCCGGAAGCTCTCCAGCTGGCGCACCACATCCTTAGTGAACTGCAAACACAACAGGGCATGAGGGGTTTTGGAGCAATAAGAAAAGCTGTGGATAACTATCCAGAACAGGGATTCTCAAAATCAATATGGAAAATTCCAAATGTTATCCTAAAACAGGTGAAAGGTCTGTAACAATTAGTCCTCAGTTAATTAATCCCTTTTATAAACCTGCTTAAATCTTAAAAGCTAAATAGATGTTAATTTCTGCCAACAACAGCTTGTTCTGTGACCCTAAGCTGCTCTAATATCTTTACACAAAACTTCATGAGAGGTTTTTGCTCAAACCTGATCACCAACAGGGCCTTTGGTTTCCTTATATACACAAACACATTTACAACACATTAAAGCTGGAGTGAAAAATGCCAACATCTGATGACCTACCTTAAAGAGGAGCCCTATAAAAACAGCTTTCACTAAATTAGTTTTTTCTCAAAAATGTTCTTTTCATTATGGCTTTAAATATTTAATTATTCACATACTTAAATGCTGATAGTAGCATGATACATTATAGCCACAGCTAATGGTTTTTGAATTACGTTTTGAAAAGCAGTCTTGTTTTTTAACCTAAAAATGAAAATATATTGTTATATGATTAATGTTTAACATTCATAATTATAGTTTTACATCTAGTCATGTTCTTTATCAATGTCGAAGATTTGACGATTTACTGAAACATGTAATTTCTCAGGGTAAAATCATAACACCAACTATATCGGTGAACTGCTTTCAATATATTGGTAATCTATTTCTGAATAAATATTTGATTGTTTTTTTTTTTACCAGAAGTTCTACATAGTTGAAAAGGATGGTTTGGGGTGGGTGTTGTATGGTGGACCAGCTCTACCATATTTAAAAATAAATACAGAAATAAAAAGGCAGAAATGCATACAGAAATGTAAAAACGACGGGCAGAAATAAATTGCATTGAAGAAATAAATAGGGTAAAAATATTATAACATGCATATAAATAAATACTTAAGAAAATCAGTAATTAATAAATAAAGTTGAAGATTATAATGGACAATATATAAATGAGGGAATTATTACAAAGGAGAATCAATAAAGAAGCTAATTAAAAGACATATATACATTTATGTCTTACTGTATAATTTAATTTCTACCAACATTTATTTGTTTATTGTATATTTGGGGGGCAATAAATGGTGTGCTTTTTTATTTATTGAGCATTTATTTATATGGTAAAGCTCATCCTCCATAGTGTTGAGGCTAACGCTGATACCATACCACCCCTCTCATCGACCAACACTGAAGACTGTATTTCTTGCAAACTCACTGCCATGGATATCACTTTATTCACTCATGCTGGACCTCATGCAACAACATTTATTTTAATTCTTGTCATAAAATTCTTAGGTTTTTTCCTATCTTGGGCTTTAACGAATAAGAAACATCAGATTTAACAAACTTTCTTAACTTCAGTAAAATTTCTAAATAAGCCTTGTAAACATGATGCAAGTTTACCTGTGTGTGTTAATGAGGAAAGTGAATCTGCATAATTACCACCCCAATAATGTTATAAAGATACTGAGTAGCAGGGCTACAACTTTCATGCTTGTCAGAAGCTGCTACAGAAATGAAAACAAAATAAAAAACATGAAAATAATACAAAAAAAAATCTTTTGATTCAAAAACAGTCAATGAAAACTACTTAAGGAGGCAAGAGGTGCAACATATGATATGAATGCTTAATATGAGCTCTCCATCAACAAACATGACAACTTTCTGCAAAATCTCCTTTAATGCACACACACAGACCACGTCTGTCATCCCATCATTGGATTCTCCATCTGTCTCATGCATAAACATAAAAATATTGACAATAAAAACCGAATTTGATGAATTCAGACAGACACAAACCCAAAGATTCCACATTTAGTGTAATAATAAAGCCAAACAGCCATGGAGTGAATTGAAAATGCCTTTAGAGGAGCTTTGCTGAACTTTCTAGCAATTTTCTATTCTGGATGATATTTCAATAGTAGTTTGATCTCACATAGAGCTCATTGACTGTTCTTTTTGTGAAAATGACCACAAATTAAACCATTGTCCCCTGGATAATGACATGCCAATAAAAAGGTTATTTATAATTACAGAGCTGCATAATATATTATGATGCAGCCTAATAAAACCGTCATTTGCTTCTGAGAAAAAAAACTCTAAGAAAAACTGATATGAGAAAATATTAGTAGATGAATTATATGTTATTTTTGTCACCTGTCAATAAGAAAAAGACTGTGTTAATTACAACTTGTGCATCAGATTATTTTTTTTAAATAATACCTGCCACTGAATCACTGCACCCTGAAAACAGAACAACTGAAAAAGAAAATTTAACAGTTCCAAATAATATGCCATTCCTAGTGGTGATGATAGCGGCATGTAAACATGTGACTAGCACGGTAAAAATTTTTCCAGAGACTGTGAATTACTCAATGGATGAACACAGATGTGGATCGTGTTTGTTCAAATATTCTATCTTTGTTTTTCTGCTGCAGATATTCAATTCAGAAACGCATTTGTTGGTATTTTCCTGACAATATCTTGCCCTCCAGCTGTGCTTTAGAGCTGTATTTGTTGTGTCTGCGTGCACCAACTCTACGTGGACTGACAGCCGACATAACACTAGGTATCCTTATTCTTTTGAGCTCTTCTCAGAACCACAAACATCATCATTTCTTGGTAGAACTGGTTTTGTAAAGGAATGCCTTAACCAGAGAATGTCCTATTTCCCAGACAAGAGGGATGTTTTTTTTTGTGTGTGCCACCATAAAGACTGTAAAAAGAACACTGGGACAATAAAGTCATTTTCCGGCTAACTGTATGACCATGACAAAAGTTTAGGATTTTCCAGAAAACTAAATACGCCTTGCATACAAGATTTTTCTTTCTTTTTTCTTTTCTTTTAATTTTTTTGCTTTGTGCTTTTTTTCAGCAGAGTACAATAAATGTTTTAAAGTCAAAGTTATCTACTTCCAAGTGTAAGAAAGGAGTAAAAAAAAACATTTTTATCACTTTTTAAGGTGATACCGATGTCCATCTCCTGAGCCCTGGTACAGTTAATGAGACATTTTTATAACTAAATAGCTTCATGTCAGGATTACAATTTAATGCAATGTATTATTTATCAAATAAAGCCACTTTATACACTTAAAAATACCTAATGAAACTTAATCCTCCTAACTTGACTTTTTGGCTGCTTGCGAAAAGTCTGATTGGATAATAAACACAATGGTTACAGCAGTCAAACCAGTCAATCCGTTTTAGTATCAAGAATACAACTTAACAGGTCTACTAACATCTATAATACAACAAAGGGTGACAAAGTCAATAGAATTTTTCTGATAATTTTACATTATTTACATACAGATGTAATTGACACCACGGCCCAAATGTTTAATCATTGTAATTTTGCATGTTGATATAAAATTAGATAAAAAAAAGGTTGCCTTCTGATTTTGGTGTGACTTTCCCATTTTAATTCATTTGTAAGATGATCAATTATTATTTCTGAGATAAAGATGGTTGTTACAGTTAAGATGCAAAAGAAAGAAATTTAAATTAGGGCGAAATGCAAGATATTTTTTTCTGATTTTATGAGGTTCACATGAGAAGTTCAGATTACAATGATGAATGATAAATGTCCAAAATTATGTTACGTATTGTATGACTCAGCTGCTGGCTACAATAATGAGTCACTAGAATATATTAAATATTAATATTACTCCCTCTTAGTTTGATATACTGGACAAAATTAAACCCTACAAAGTCTAAGACATTGCAAACCTTTTTTTTAAAGTAAAAAAGCTTTACATGAAGAAGTGTTATAAACATCATCTCTAGGAGCCTCTTTGCCTTTGATACTCATTATCTGTTTGATTTTGTTAATATGAAATCAGATGTGATCAAAGCCACAATAGGAACAGCCAGAGAAGACTGTGTACATACACCCACTCAGAGTGGCATTCAGTCCAACAGTTTTGCTCTTTGAGAGCAGATTTTTCATTTTACCATGCCTTCAATTATAATGCAAATTAACGCTTTTGGAGCATCAGGACTGCCTATGTCAGTTATTTTGTGACGCATGATTATCCTGTTCTTTGGATTGTTTGTTTCTTTACATAACATCTTAATAATTTCATTAGGTTTTGTCATAAATTATTGTTTGATGTTTTTTTTCATCTTTTTATTCCTGTTAGATGCCTGTTTATATTAGGAACATGGACATGAAACAGAGCTAATGTTTACCACTCTGAGATACATTTACAATTGCTTTGTATTTATAATATTGCAAAGTATGGCAAAGACTTTCTACTTATTCATATAATGCCACAGCAAAATAAGACAAAATAAGTACATATTTATTAGTATATTTATTAGTATTAAATATTATTTATGTAAATATTTACACTTTATAATCTGGTTCATTTCGGTCTTAAAAGGTTTTGAATGGTCTTATTCATAGCACTATGTGGTTATCATGTTTACTCTGCAGTACATTTTTGAGGAGATAAAAGTGATTTCCCCTTCTTTAACAATCTCTTGGATTTTAGTATTTACATAACCAGAACCTACAGCATAAATCTTCCCTTTATCTGAAAAATGATTGAGAAAGTGTTTTATGATCAACTGATGGCCTTTTTTGAAGAGTATGATATTTTAGAGGTTTTCCAGTGTGGTTTTAAAACATTAGAAAGCACTGAATCGGCTCTTTTAAGGGTTTTTAATGATACTTTCTTAGTCACAGATTCTGGTGACTGTGTGATTCTTGTACTTTTGGATTTAAGTTCTGCTTTAGATAGAGTAGACCACAAAATTTTACTTTCTCGTCAGGCACAGTGGGTTGGCATCAGGGAAATGCCAATGGATTGGTTTAAATCATATTTAGAAAACCAAACTTTCTGTGTCTCTCTTAGCGATTAGAAGTCTTCCTCTGCTACCCTATTGTATGGGGTGCCACAGGGCTTAGTTTAGGGGCCACTTCTCTTTGCCCTTTATCTACTCTTGCTTGGCTCAAAAATGAGGAAGCATGGTGTCCATTTCCCTAATGACAGCCAAATTTATATTCCATTAAGCATAAAACATGGGACCTCTATTAGTGTCCTGTTAATTTGCCTTGAAGACCTAAACACCTGGATGGCCCTTAACTTCTTGAACTTCAATGAGAGTAAGACCGAGGTCATGATTTTTAGCAGCACATCTGAGCTTCCCTTCACTGAGCTAGTTACCTAGCCCAGTATAGAAAGTCAGTTATAACAAACCTTGGTGTCAAAGTGGATGCTGATCTTAAATTCGATAGCCAGATACAGGCAACTGTGAAGAAAAGTTTCCTTCAGTTAAGGCAGTTGGCCAAAATAAAGCCCATTCTCTCCAGAGATCTTTTAGAGACATGTAATCCATGCCTTCAGCACTACCCGGCTGGATTACTGTAATGCACTTTATTGGGAGGTAAGTGCCTTTAACATTGCTCAACTCCAGAGAGTGCAAAACTCTGCAGCACCTCTTTTATCTGGCACTCGTACATATGAGCACATTACCCCAATTTTAGCCTCATTACACTGGCTCCTTGTACATTTTAAAGTTCTTTTATTTGTTTTTAAGTGTCTTCATGGTCCATATTATCTTTCTAAATGGCTCCACCTTCATGCACCCTCCCGTTCACTCAGGTCAGCCGATCAGCTGCTTCTTCAGGCTCCAAATACTATATGGAAGCTTAGGGGTGATTGTGCTTTATCTGTGGCAGCTCCAAAAATGTGGAACGACCTTCCATTGCAAATTAAATTGTATACTTCTTTGCTTGATTTCAATTAGCTCTTAAAAACTAATTTCTTTGCCTTGGCTTACTAAACTGTGTGAGATGTTGATTTTAGTCTGTGATACATTATTTTAAATTACTTTTATTTTATTTTAGATTTTATACTTCTGATTTTAATTGGACTTTTATACTCGTTTGTTTTTTTTAGTCTGCTGTGTAATGGTTCTATGTTGTTTCACTGTTAAGCACTATGGTCATTTCAGAAATTTTACAGTGTTTTATAAATAAAGTTGTATTGGAGTGGCTAAATCTTCATGATATTTGTTGTGATTGTGCAGGTTACTAACCACTGTAGTGTTAAGGAATGAGGAGATGTTGAAGACTTTGTCCAGGCGGAGGGCAGAGTAGATGCCTTTGTTCTCTTTGCAAGTGCTGAAAAGAAACATACAATTAAATACACATACTGGAGAGCATGAGAGAAAGCCTTTGCTGCCATCATGTGTAATTGACTGGAAGTACAGAAATATGTTTAAAGCTTGAAGCTGGATAATTTACAGAAAAAGCTAAAATCCTTCTTCAAATGTCAGACACAAATGAAAACATTTAGTCAGCCAACTAGGCTGACTCCAGTGTGTTAGTGCTCCATGTCTGTTTGTTTGTAAACCTAATAACTTTGGATCTACCATCCAAGATTACTCATAAATCCTTATCAAATAGTAGGATGATGAAAGCTCATGTAATGACATAGAAATAAGCTGCAGAAAGGCAGCACTGATGGTGTATAAAAATGACTCTAATTAGCTACGGCAAGTTAACCGCCACTCCTTCATTTGCATGAATGAAATATTCATCAAGAGACTCAAAGCCACAAGCGATGAATGTGACAGAACGGAAAGTTTGAGCAAAATCTAAATAACTTATTTATTTGATTATCTAACATAAAACATTAATTCCCTTGGAAGAAAAACACATTCATCAGTGCTTTCTAAAATTTTAAGAAAGATAAAGAGCAAAAAGTCTTTTTCAGTTTAAAACTCTCACTTTTCTCATTTCTTCCTAGTTTTGATATCAGAGGAATGCATTTTTTGCTTATTAATTTCTTAAATACAAATTCCAAACTCTATAAAATATACTTTTATATGAAATTATTTTAGATTAAATCAAAATAAGAAATTTGAAATCAAGATATAAATCTGCAGAAAGTTGTAAATGTATGTATCTGAGCTTCCTTTACCTGTACAAGCTTTCTGTCGTCAGCTCTAATTCAGAGTCATTATACAGGTAGCCAGGGATGAAATTCTTCCACTCTGGGTTGATCAAATACGGACTGTCCACGACCTGTGGGAAAAAATAATAGGTTAAAGTATATAATACATTTTCTTTTCAAGTTCTGCTCAACATTTATGCTAACACATATGCTTTACAACAAAATGATGAAAAGCGTGTTGGTGTAAACTTGGTAGAAATATAGCTAACAAATAGTACACTATTGTACTGTTTTGTTGAAATGTCCATCTGGCAAATCAATGTTGTTTTAGTATTGTATGTTATTTTTATTTTTATTCCTTAGGGGATGTGTTATTAGTTTGTATGTAGGCTATTTGTTTATTTTTAGCTGGTATTTTTTATGTGTATTCATTGCTTCTAATGGCAGCTACTACTATGTACTGTAAACCTGGGTCCATGAAAAATTTCCTTTAGGGGACAATAGGTATATTCTATTCTATTCTATTCTATTCTATTCTATTCTATTCTATTCTATTCTATTCTATTCTATTCTATTCTACCATAACCAATCAGTTAAAGGCAATAAATCGGGTTATCACATAATGACATGGGTTATTGGTGGAAGCAGCAAAAGAAATATAACAAATAATTACTCCGTAGTGTCAAAGGCACTAAGGTCCAGCCTGACAGACTACTGAAGAGAAATTTTCAAAAATATCGACTTCAAATTCATACAAAGTCATATTTTCTTATTCTACACACTTGCAACTCAGTAGAAACCGTAATCAGTCCAAGCAACATCATCTGTTTTTCCTGAGTTTGTGTTAAAGCAATACATTTATGATGCAAAGAACTCCTTCTGTTCCCATTGAGAATTACAAGCAAGTGTTTGGAAATAATTGAACGCTTGTCTGCTTCTTCACTTGCCTTGAAGAGCTCTTTGGTGTGGAACGGCTCACAGAGGAGTTTCTCCATGTTTCCTCCTGCCAGGAACATGGCAGTCAACAGCCCCATCAGCACCCAGGAGAAAATGAAACTAAATCCAACGCCGCTGTGGTACAAAGCAAACTTGAACTCAGGTGATAATGGTTAAATCTGGTTAAAACTATAACTGTGAATATTTTTATTTTATGATTATTATCAAGACATTCCAAAGTTTTCTCTTCCGTTTAGCATAGCACACCTTTAATTATGTCAGATATGTCAAATATTAAGAGAGAAAATGATGTTTGGAAACAACAGTTGGAGAGTTAAAGGAGTCTGAGTAAGAAAAAAGTGTTTGACTTCTTCAATGAAGACTTACGCTATGAGCAGTGTTCCTCCTGTATTGGATATACATCCCCGTGTTGTAGGTGAGGCATGCTTGTCGTATCCCAGAGTGCCACACAGAAGGCCCAAATAGTTAAAGGCCAAGACCAGAACCACCATGCAGCACAGAGCAATACAGCCAATCCATCTGTTAACATCAAGCAGAAGCTAAATACATTTTCACTGGACAGTGGCCTTAATGTCATACAAAATAATTGGATATAGTCTTTTTTTTATTATTCTGAATAAAAGAGCTGTGTGTTTTTGTTTTTCTTTTTTACAGGATACAATAGGTTGAACCAAAAAAAAGCATTGAACTACTGATAGAAGCAATACATAAAATATACTGTACGTAATATATCAGATGAGAATATGTACAGCAGTCACAAAGAATAATAAGTAACCACTTTGTTTTAAAAACAAACCAGTTTGTCTACATTTTAGTGCATGAAGCTATTGAAAGACCCTGTGAATTTATTTAGATTCGGATATAATATACTCAAACATTCCTGTCTTTCTCCTTGATAGTTGCTTATAGGTATAAAAAAGGGATTAATTTATATTATATCATAACAAAATAATGACAAGTTTTGCATCTTCTTTCATCTTTCACTATATATATTCAGATGTTTTGTTTTATTATGAACAGATAAGGATCAGGATGTCAGATCACCTGTAGAAATCTATTTGATCAATTTCAGGATAGTAATCTTCAATTTTGGCGTGTGCATGGCTGATGAAGATGGTGAAGTTGGACAGGCATGTCTGCACTGGAAAAACTTTGGAGAAACTGGTGATGTTGTTACCGACGCTGCCCACCAAATTCTGTATGCCTGAAAGACAGATCAGTTAAAAGCATGAAGAGACCTAAAGCTCTGAAAAGCAACAGAAAGATAGGATTCCGAAATGAATTTTTTTGCTATTAAAAGACACTCACTCATGACAACAGCTCTGGTCTGTTCAATGACCATGTGTGGGGTGTCATTCAAAGCATAGAAGCCCTGTGAAATGGAGAAGGCATTGGTTATTTTTGTTAACAATAATAAAAACTGAAAACTAAAAACAAAAATAAAAACCAATTTAAAAGTGTTGAGTGAAATCTTTTCAGTAATTAATTAACTCTTACCCTGTGGACAACAGAGCTGAGATCTGTTTTCACAACATTTTTCATCTTTTCCAGTTGAGGGTTCACATCAGGGAGCTAAAAATCAGCAGAAAAACCAACAATAATAAACATGAATACTGATGCAAGGGGAAGATGACGCCGTCATTGGTTTATCACTGTTGTAAGTTTTTCTATACTCATTAAGCAGATGGCAAACACAATATTCCGAATAAAGCTAGAATTGATTACCTTACAAAGTGAAAATACTATAATATGGGCAAGAAATATGAACTCCTACCAGACATTTTAAGCAGAAAAAGGCTGAAAAAGCATTTGGAAAAATGTGCCATCCTAAATATTTTTTTTTTAACACAGAGTTGTGATTATATGCACACCAAATGTAAAATAAAATAAGGTTTCAAAATTCTCAGCTAAGGGCATAATGCTTTAGGATGATTATGTTACTTATGTTACATAAAGCTTTATGTATGTTTTTTTTTTTATTAATAGTACTATAGCCTATACAGTTTCAGGGTAACACTTTGACATTATAAAACTACATTTTGAACTGCATCCTCTAAAACTCCACTTTCACCTATCTCCCAGCAACCAGCAGCAGTTTAATCAGTGGTTTTCTCTTCTCATACAGGAATCCAGTGTTTACTGATTCCAGTGTGGAAGAAGCCTGATCCTTGCACTGTCTTTATTGATTGTGATATCTGTGGAATGTTGGTGTTATCTGTTTTATGAAAACCCTCTGGTTTTGTCCAATTCATTAGCCAAACTCAATGCACTCGCTAACCATGGCACTGGGAGCTTGTTTGGTGTAGATGTAAAGTTTTTGACTAGGAATCAGACCAGCTCGGCTCCTTGCTTCATATTCTCTCATGATAAACTCTCAAGCATGGGCCATATGTAACAGATAAGCAAACCTAGCTGCTAAAAGTCTTCCCCTGTAGCACAGTCCAGATATGTATTGGTGTCATTAAATCAAAGTTACATCTTCCCACTGCTACAGAGGTGATAATTAACTTTGTAATTTAATTTCAACTTCATTACATTTATGAACAGACTAAAGAGATTCACAGCATTCTCCCCTCTCAGACTGTGAAACATTTATTTTCATACCCGGGTGAAATTTGCACTAATCTGCAGCTGGGACAAAGACTGGCGGATGCTGCGGCAAAGCTGGGCTGTGGTGGCGTCCGATTCTTCATCAAGGCAGCCAGGGTCATCGAGGGTACGGTTGATGCTGTTGCGGATTCGGCTCAGGTTGAAATGAAGTTTTCTTTCTCCTTCCTGCAAGACCACCAGAGAAACACTGACGTTCTCCAGGGCCTCTTTGGTTTCTCTCATGGCTGAAATGAAAGGGAGCAAAGAAGAGATTAAAAAACGTTTATTTGGCTGCTTATGAAAAACCAGGGCATGATTGATAAAATTTTCAACTTGTAACATGGATTTCCTTTTTATCAAACAGTAAGAATTATTTATGGATCAAGTTGAGTTTTAAATTTAATCAGCTTTTTTTTAAAAAAAAAAAAAGGGATTATTTTCTCAGAGTACAACGTTTTACAAAACAAGCCATTAAGACCCATAAAGAGGAAAATAATAATAATCTATGTAACTGATAAATCTGATAAAATGTGTAATGGATAAAATGATGTACAGCTTCATCTTATTACTATTAGAAGTACATGTTTTGTGTCATTCCTCAATATAATTGGCCCATTGTTTAGTTGTATGTATGAAAGTTTATTTTTATTTTTATTAATAGGTATACAGAGACAGAAAAAAGACATAAAACACAATGTGTGCTCATGTTCCACACATTCAGACTTAAACAGGGACCAATTAACAGAGTGAAATCACCAGAACAGAGCTCATTACAACATATACTGTAAGGCTGAACTGAACCTATGTGATAAATTCTTTCATGCAACTGCTTTGTCTTTTTTTCCTTAAATAGAAACGTATATATTATATTTAAAAGAGGAATATTTCGATTCTTTAAATGAACAATGTTGTTAATGAGGTGCTTTAGACTTTTGCAAAGCAGCAGTCAGTTCTGGCTAAAAGCCCCATAATAACCTGAAGCAAATGTCCAAATTCAAATTAAGTTTCAGGAATAAGAAGATGCTAGCACCCTGGAAGCATGATAAAAAAATTATTGAGAAAAAGGGCAACACTGAGGCTGTTACAAACATTAATCCCATGTAAAAAGAATCGTGTTTGATGATCCTTATGTTCAGCTTTACGTTTTGAAAGCCATTTGTTCTTCTTTAGGTTTGCTACAGTTATGAAAAGTGTTATGCAAAAGTATTCACCTGTCAACTACATACTGTAATGTTTATTTAACAGGATTTTATGTGCAAGGATTTTATGTGCAAGAAAAAGTAAAATAGTGCACTTTAGAAGTAAAGGAGTATAGTTCAGGGTTTCCATATTTTCTGCAAAAAAAAATGCTAAACCAAGTGAGTTAATGCTTCTAGCACAGTGAAATTCTGACTTATTTTTCAGTAATGGTTCCCATCTTTCTACCCTTTCATAAGAGTCAGATCTATCAATACTATTCTAGCTGAGCTGTAAGCTCTTGTTTTTTTCTTTTCTTTTTTCCCCCCCAACATACAAGGAAACAGAACCACATCTAAAGACAGGTTGTTGCATTTATAGCTGTTCAAACACAAATTCTTAAATGAACTTAAGCAGTTCTGCTGCATACTAAGGGGCTGTGTGGATCATTTCAGGGCAACCCATAACTTTGGGTAACTAATCAGCTAAATCAGAGCAGGTAGAAAAAAAAAAAACGTCTGCAGTGCCTAATTTATATTAGCTATGTTTATGTGTCTAAACTTTTATTTCAATAGAAACCTAGGATTTCATAGATCCTCAAACAAATGCATGTGTATTTTTCCTTAGGAAGTAAATATTTCTTTACTTTATTTTGAGTGAAAGTCTTTGAAATTTTGTATTCTCTTTTGGGTACATGATGTTTAAAAGGTGTTGGTGGTTGCTTCATAATACTGTTCTGTAAAAAAGGCAGATGCAGTGCAAATGTTGCCCTAGCCTTGGGGTTTTTAGGGTACAGAATCAGTTGTTCTGTTTCTGCCATTTCCATCAGCTCATGTTGAACCATGTAAGGTGGGACTGTTCACTGAATAATAGGCTGCTGTATTCAGTTCATGCAAAATGAAATAACCTCATAGGGTTGTTGAAGTATTAAACAAAAAGAGTGTTTTTGGATAAATCAAGCTGATTTCTACAGCAGAAAGTGCACAGCCACTTATTAAACCTATAATTTCCTTCAACAGACCTTGAGCTGGTTTTCATTTATGATGATTAGTGTTTGAAAAGAAAAAGTAATTTAATTTTTCCATAGATAATGCAATGGTATAGTTTGACACGCCTCTGCTAGCTGGCATCCTTTTTTTTGCAACTTTCTCTCACAGGGGTATTTGTTTTCAAACAGCAAATGGGTCTATTGTTTTATAATATAACCGAGATTTAAACTGCAACACAGCATTTTCCTTCATCTGTCTGTTCCTATGCCTTAAAGATGCTGTTTAATTATATTTTCCTTACCACAAAACTCTCAGGCCCGATAAATATAAGTTAATTTTATACAGAGGAAATATTACACACAGCTGTTTATTCAGAATTCAGCTGAATGCATTGGATATTATTTTGGGGTATCAAAGGGAGGAGGGGGACATCATGGAGAAACTATACTTTTTAGATTTGTCATTTGTGAAATAAAGTAAAATCACATATATTTTTTCTTCTTCATATTTATGTATGCATCTATTGTGTTGAATGCAATGGCTTGATGTGTATGAAAGCTCTTTCAAAGCAAGGCATTTTAGATAATTAGTCATACTTAGTTTTTCTAGGTTAATTAAAATAAAATAAGGACTGGTTACACAAACACTTGACCAAGACAAAAAACAGTCAAAACATTCAGATGCAGGTAGAGTTTGGTTTGGACATTTAGTGGACTCAACAAATACAGTCAACTTAAAAATGCACTTCAACATTTAATAAAAAATGACCCATCCCATTTTATAGAAATAGAAATCTAGCAATCCAAATTGAACAATAGATTAAAATCAACCCTGCTTATGTTTTCTATCACCATCATCTCCTTCTTGACTGTCTATGAGGTTCTGGGATATTTGTTGTCAAATGTTGCATAGTGCAATTTGAAAGTTGTAATTGCTGTCCAGTAAGATGAGACTTGAGGATCAGGGAGGTTCCACATTTTCAAGGAAAAAACAAAAGGGTCAGATAACAGGAACAACCACAGCATCAAAAATCAGGACATTAGGGGTTAAACAGCTCTGGATCATCAGAAATTTATTGAGTCTCTGAGTTACCTTTGATGAATCTCTGGATTTTCACTTTATGACATAAAAATACAAATAAAAAACAATAAAATATAGCAATACTGATTAAAGGTGAATGATTTACTCACAGCAACTGAAAGGAAATGATCAGTAAGTTTATTCATAAAACAGCAGTCAGGCTATTCGACCTAATGACAGAAGCAGGAAGTTTTACACCAATCAGGGTAAATTAAAGAAAGGATCAATGTACCTCCAGCCATATTAAGCACTTGGTTTAAAGCAGGATGAACCTCCTTATCCAATTGTCCATGTATCCTTCCACCCAGTAATGGACCTATGTCTGTTAGAAAAAAGAAATAGATAAGGAGAGCAAAAATTTACAATATACGCTAGTTTTGTTTTCTTAGACACTTAGACAACTTTTATTGTCATTTTCTATACACAGAGTGTATACAAATAGAACATTTTGTTTTGTACAGCTTTTTATGACATTTCCATTTCTTAAAGTCCAGCAGTGATCAAATGTAAACAGTGTGGGAGAAAAAGACATGGTGCAAAAAATGCATTGATATGGAAGTCAGAGCATTAAATATATATACAGTAGTACGGAGTTTTGGTTCAGCGCTGTCAGTTTGATGCAGAGTCAGTGACATAATTTATGGTTGTTTTCAACAGTTCAGCTGTTTTTGTCAAAAGTTATGTGACTGCTAAAGGACTTTGAGTTGCTTTCTTGTTTTTTATTGTTTTGCAAGCTTAACTTTCAAGAAAACTCTCTAGAAGGAAACTTGAATAATCAGGGTGAGCATCCATTACAGTCACAGCTGGAGCTAACTAAACTCAGTTACGTTGCCATTCAGTTGTAAAAACAAGTCTTGGAAAAGAAGAAATCAACACAATGTACTACAAGGAATAAAAGCTGAGTGAATCATTTATGCCTACTTAATTCTCCATTAGAGGAAAGAAGTTCTACTTACTATCTAGGTCGTAGATGACTTTGTTCTTGGCGGTGGCGTATTGGGATATTAGGTAATCGATTTGCTGCAAACAGGAAACACAAAGGCAGTCTTACATGAAAGCATGCAAAAACTACTTCATTAATCTTTTAGTGGATTCTGAATGGTTCAGAATAAAAAACTTGTTAAATCAATTGAGACAATATAAGTAAGAATAACAGCAAAAATCAAAACCTCAGGTCTGAGATTAAAACTAATAATAAAAATGTACTTTCCAAAAATGTATTTTTTTTTTACATTTAATGCAAAAAAATAATGATTCAAATGCCGAACAATTACTCCTTGACATTTCACAAATGGTTGTTGTTTATGTACATTTTTACAAATGGCAGTTAACAGGCTGGACAAGAGCCAGCAGTAATCCTTCAATTACAACACATTTTTTGAACTGCTCTAGATCTTGTTTCTTACAGAACATACTGATTGCATTAGATCAACAAGATTCACAAGATTTCAATGCTTATTAAGGTAGAGTATCAGTGAAAAGCTTTAATTCTTGTTAATAGGCTTTAGACCATCGTCATCATTTCAATCTGGGGTTAAACTCCATCATGAAGCATCTCAGTAAACTTATCAGAAAGTGAAACATAAAGTGCTGAATATTTCCCTGAGACACTTGTGACAGTGACACAATAAAATGCATTAGACTAACACAAGCAGATGACATGGCAGCCATAATCCTGACTAATATAAAAACTTCACTCTAAACTTCAAGCAACGTAGAGTCTGTTCATCTTCACTCCTCCTCCAGTCTCGGGGACACAGTTAAGCTCTTTTCTCATTTTTTTTTTTTTTTTTTTACAGAAGATGGTGCTGACATTATCACTGCTTCAGATATGTTATAAAACAAGTAATACATGCCATGTCCTGGATATGTATATGCTTTGTGGGTATTAAACCACTGGCCCCATATCTCGTGAAACTCCTAGGGTAACAGCTTCATGATGGTTATTAATGTTACCTGTAACAACTGCTATGCCACTTTTTCCTTCCAATTAACTTTCTAAAATTGGATGTATTCTTTAGCGAACACCAACATGTAATGCTGACCTCCTTTCAATATCTGTTTGTTGGACAACAGTCAAATCAGTGATCTCTCCAAAAATAAATATTTTTTCCAGCATAAAAAACTACATATTAATGGTCATATTCATGTCTTCTGAGAACAAGTTTTAAGTACAACAAGCTTTAAGTTAAAATCCACATTTAGAGAGAATGTGGATTTGAAAATGTCTTAGAGTAATGCATCCATAAAGAGAGCAAATATGTTTCACTGTCGGACAGACTTTCTCAAATCATAAATTCAAAATTATTTTGTGATTTACTGAGAGGCAGCAACGGATGTTAGGTGTCTATATCATCTCACCATTGGTGTGTCGTTAGCAAAGGTGTGAAGGTCTCTCATGTTGCTGTTGACCAGCCGCCGTATGTTCTTCACCTGAGAACTCAGGTTCTGGTTGGCTGCATATGCACACAGAACACCAATCCTGCAAACAGTTGAAAGATGGAAACACAATGACCTGTTTGTGACAAAACTTTCTCAGTCCTAAAAGCAGTAGGTTTTACAGAGTGGTATAATGGCATGCTATAAGCAGCAGGGGTCAGTCTTTCCTGCCTTTATTTTTTATATAAGAGGCACCTGTAGACCAAGGTACTTTAATTATACAAATCCATCATGAGTTCCTGCAAAATGTGATGATTACAGTTTGTTACCAGACATCAAATCAAATGTCCCCAGGTTGCAAACAAATATAAATGACATGCAAAAACACAGATGCAAAAAGCAGGGCAATAGAGGGAGTCTCTTCTATGCTTCAAACAAACCTGGATAGCTCACAAGGCTTAATTAGTTTCAGTAACATCAAGGGAGCTAGCCCATAATATTAGGCTGTTTCCATGACTCATTTTCATCCCAGCTGAAATTTCTGCTAAGCACCTCAAAGCTGTACCTGCCTCTATAAGTCTCTTTGGGTTTTCCTGTGAGTACCGCTGTGGTTCTTTAGGTGTTAGCCTCAGAATAAGAAAAAGAAAAGAAAAAAAAAGATGTTTGATGGAGTTTGAAGAAGTCGGAATTCATAGAGTGGGATTGTAGAGCACAGCAAACCTCTTTCATGGAAATGCCTCAGTGGAATAAGCAGCTTTATGAATGATGTAAGATGACTTGCTGAGAGGAATAACAAAGGGACTGACTCAGATGCTGCTGGGATGTTTAGATCAATAGAAATGGATGAGGTTGTTGTGACTCATTATATTAAAAAAGCAGAGGGGCCGTCAGTTGTGCATAAGTAGAAAAACAGCTTGTACATATGTGATGCTGTGAAGATGGTGTGTGTAGTTTATCCTTACAGTGTTCTGAGCAGCAGCCGCTGCATTAGTCACAGTCTGGCATCAAGAAAATAATCTGATGTGATGTTAAATTGCAGACATTTTCCACAGCAGGGATTGTAATGTCTGTTTAGAATAGCTATGATGAGATAATGTTTTACATTTTATCTGACTCCCCAAACTTAGTACATAAGGATTAAGCGGTATTGTTCCATAATGCTTGCCACTAACAGTTTTAAGCTATAAATATAGATGAAATATAGGTATTGATTAATGAGGTAATCAGAAAGCATCGAGGATCATTTTATTGCTATATATTTGCAGAATAACAGGTTGTCAGCTGTGGGGAAGCTGACTGCTGTGGCGCATTGGGTTCGACCACTCAGCTATCTGAAGGTTGAAAACTTAACCCTATAAAAAAATATTCCACATTTATGCATTTGGTTAACAGTCTGCTACGTTATCCAGTTTGCCAAACAAGTCACAACCTCCATAAAAAAAAGGGTAAGAATTCCCCAATAGAATAAGAAATGTCAACTATTTGTAGAAAAATACATAGACCAAAATACATACCAGACAGGCCAAAAATTGTTCAGAACTGTTTGAATTATCCATGTGATATTAAAGATACTGTTAATAGCAGACCCACAAAGTCCAGAGAAGGAGAGAACATCATCCAGTATTGGTGGTTCCCACCATGAGGGTTTGTGGAAGGTCCTGTCTTCCTCCAAATCCTCAAAAACCACGAATTGTAAAAAACAACTTCTGAAAACATGATTGATGCAAATAGTAAGAACATTTGACTTTAAAGGCAAACTGCTGACACAGAAGCACAGCTAAAAATCTTAAATCAGTGCTGTGATCTCTGAATAACAAATGCTTTCAATAATTACTTTCTGTCACCACAAATGTTACAGTTTTGATCAAATTGCTGTGAATAATGACTGAGTTCATGTTCCAACTCTTTAACAGAATAGGTTGAAATCTACTTAAAAAGAAAGAGTTAAATGAGTAGAGCAGGACTCAAGAAAGAGGAACATTTCTTGGAAGAGGAAAAACAGCACTTTAGCACCAAAATATTTTGTTTTACCTTCTCTCCCATCTGTTTCAATTTCTTTCAATCCTATTAATATGCAGTTTTATCAATTTATCATCTTTACATTCACGAAACTGAAAAAAATTCAAACATATTTGTCTGATAATATCATTCTTTCTTCTCAGGGTTCAATTGGTTCTTTCAGCAAAAGCTGCACACATCACTCAACACAGAGAAATTCAGGTTTGCTATTACACTCAGATTCTCTGCCTGTAGAATCTACACTTTGTTCCCTTTCTCTCCCTTTCAGCCCACCTCCCTTTCTCTTTGTCTCCCTGATGCCCAGCAAGGTCACTGGAATCTAGTGCTAAACAAAGAGTCTTTGAGTGAAAAGCAAAGCAGTTATCAAAGAGCTTTAAACTGTTCTGTCTTCCTTGACAACATATATAGAGGAATATTTTTGTTAGATTTTACCCACAAAAAGAATTCTACTATCAAGTAGACATATATGTGGAATAAACATATTTTCTTTTTAAAAACAGTCTAATTGAAATCTTTTCCACGGAATAATAAAATAGTTTAGTAAAGGTGAAATATGCAATATCAATGACACAATGGAAGCTGTCGAACAATATTGCCACTTGCTCATCCGGGGGTGGATTAAAAGCTGCAAGTCAGGGACTTGATCCCACCTGCTGGGTTTCCTCAGGAGGAAAACTTATTTTTTACTGATTTGAAAAAAATAAACTAAACTGGACGGAATTGGATGTTGTTTCTCAAAACCATCTTCATTTCCTCTATGTGCCTCAAACTTTCTGCTCATTTATACCCTCCGGCATATGAAAACACTCTCAAAGCAACAAGCAAGTTATCTTACAGCAAAAAGAATTTGCTTCTGCGGATGATCAACACTCCTCGCTTGTTTTGAGAATACTGTCACAAACAGACGGGCTGAAACTGAGGCCAGCTGTTCAGTTTTGTCCAATTCGGGGACATTTGTGTGATGTTTCAATGCATCACCCAAGGCTTCACTATTTCTAGATTTATTTCCACCTGGAGAGACTCACAGAGAGAGAAGTTGTAAATAGAAGCGTTTTCGACATAATTAATAAAGCTGTTTGGCGGTCGGACACCGGCTGAAAACTTTGTGTTCAGAGCTGATGGTTGATCAGATCAGTGGATTTAAGAAAGAGAGGATAGGATTTCCCCTTGTGTCTAGATACTCATGGTGGAACAAGCTCAGGATGGAATGGAGCCTTTCCCCAGATTCACCTCGTGGGGAGAAAAAGGGGTGGAGGTGGGTAGAGAGACAGCTGGTGAGCAGGAGAGACGTCATTAACGACGCTTGAAGGAGATCTTGCAAGCCGATTGGTTCTGAGAGGGGTGCGGTCCTGAGGCTCATTAGCTGAGGTTTGGAGGCATGGCACCAGCAGGTGATCCAGGTAAGGCTGATCACAGTCTTCTAGTTTGAATTTACACTTAAGCTTCATAATCTCTACAGATTAGATGTTTTTCGAAAATCTCATATAATACCATCATAATCAAAGCAACATCCCATTTTTCTAAAGAGAGTTGAGTAAAGTAGTAGTAAAGGGTATTTTTAGTTGCAAACCGTCAGTAAAATTAGCTTAAATGGGCTTAATTTGGAAAAAAACATATAATACACCACCACAGACCCAAGGTTGGAATTCCTACAGCTCCTCAGTTCCCATGATTGCTTCTCTTATTAATTCCCTACTTATATGGCTGTTGATTTATCTGAAATACAATGGAAACCACACCTTATAGATTTTGATTTGCAAATATCTTGAAACCTTGTGTTGAGTTCTCTCAACTTCAACATTGTGTTGTACCTAAATAGATGTTGTTGTATCAAATAGATTTCCACTACAATACATTTTGTTGCTTGTGGTGGAAACATTAAAAAACTCAGAGCTATCCTGGTCACAATATTATTTAAAGCACTAACTGGCTTTGCATACATTAGGTTATATGAGTGCTGCCTCTTATTGTTTACACTATCTTGGTCTTAAAAATGAGAAGCCGAGCCTCTATCATATGGTGGTGCCTCAACACAGATTTTAAGGGATTCCAGGTTAGTTTAATACATTTAACTTTGGCAAATGGCTACAGGTCTGTATGGCTTTTTTTTTTCTCTGTAGTGTTTTTTTTTTTGACCAGGGGGATAATTCAAACACTTGGAAAAAGATTTATCTCGAACAACTGTGGAAAAAGGCTTTAATTTTTGTTTGAATAAAAGCCAAATGACACATGAAACTCCTCCCTAAGGGTGGAAACTCAGAAAAGCAGATGAAGAAGAGCATGACTCCAGTGCAATACTGTAGAATCTAGGCCACTACTTCGGGGCTGGGAAGTGTGTGTTACATGGTCTGGTGGCTCCATAGCTTTTACAAACTCTAACAATGGCCGCATTCAGCGTGACTGTGTTTGCGAGGCAGGGACAGTCTCCTTTCAGCCTTGTTTCACACTGCTGGAACTGGCCCTCATTTCTCCCATCTCTAATAAAGACATAAGCTTAAGTCTCAAACTCTTTTTTTATGCTGTGACTATCCAAAAGTTTTGTTTTTTTACTTTAAGCATATCTTAATTTATTTGCTTTTTTGTGTTGATATAATCTAAATAATCTATGGGAACAGACAGATTAGAGCGTAATCCATACAGTAGGACATACAGTATATGTGCTGTGTTACACAATTTGGAGTCAAAACAATGTACTCTCACATCCTGTCCTTGTCTACTGAGCAGATACAATCAAAACATTTTACAGAGAACAAGTACACATGATGCTACGGTAAGTATTTTTATCGAGATGTACCCTAATAATGTATGTGCAACGCAAAATGCTTGTTAAGCAGCCCAAAACTTTCTGGCTGCCTGAGCAGACATCCTGACTAATTAAGCAGCTGATATAAGCTTGTTATTCTTACTCTATCATTAGCACAGTAAAGAGAAATCCTATTCTGCCAGTACTGAATATAATGGGTGTTTATTCTGAAATTGAAACAATAAACAAGATTTAGAAATAACAGTTTTATGACTGAAAAAGTCAGTATTGAAAGTTTTATTTAGCGGGATTAAGAATAACTGGCCCTTTTCTGATTTAAG